AATGCAAAATACTGGACACAGAGATCCTATGTAATTTCAAGAGCTCAGTGTAATCTTGCAGACACAAAATCTCCTGCAGTACCACTCTCTAGCTCTGCACAATCATTTCAAGAGGTAAAAGTGCTGGCACAGYTTTAACAATTAAGCCACGTGTGTTCCTTCATTTTTATTTTTAAATTGCACAGAATACAAAGATTTGCATTGCATAAATCCATTCTGAATAGGCTGCTTAATTGGTGCTGTAGGTCTAATATATCATCTGCCTGAGGGCCTGGGCAACAGCCAAGCAGCCCAAGCCCAACAAGTACAGAAGCTCTAGCTGTACTTTCTCCTGGCATAAAAGGACTCAAGCTGCTATACCTTAAAGACACCATTAACACACCTGCTGTGAAATTTGCCTTATAAAACTCTTCCCCAGCCCATTAACCACTTACTAAAATTAGAATCAGCCTTGACACTCAAAGTTGCAGATCAACACTTCACAAAGTTCTGGACAGAAAAGTAACATGTACAAAACATTGTTTCCTTTCGAAGCAARAAGCTCAAGTCCGATGACTATTGAAATACCCATTTTCAACCTCTGCATGCGTATGGCTGTGTTTCCAATCTCACACACAGATTCCTGGTCTTCACTTTTTCCAAACACTTGCGAGTATTCCAGAGTCACACTTCTGCAAGGCCCTGGCTAGGGTCTTTTTGCAGCAAAACTATTGCAGCTTTAAAATTCACATCCAGGAACTCAGCAGAACTTGCCCTGAATGCAAGTCAAAAAGTTTCAGCTCTCCCAGATGATAGGATCTTTATCCCAGAGTATTTTTATTTTATTAGCATTATGCGAGAGGGACGTGGCAACTAAACACTTTTTTGTCATTTATATTCACGAACAAAGGCAAACATTCTGATTCTTCTCAACTAGAAAGGAGAGATGCCACACAAAGACAGTAATCAGGTTGTGTATGTTTTTGCACGCTCTGCAGGTTTTCTTTTACCTATCACATTTCTTTACCAAGGAAGCCAGGTTAGGCTTTTGTTTCACAAAAGCTTAAACATACATCAAAACATTCCCAGTACCACAGTGGGTAAAAMCACATTATAGCATGTCAAGTAAAGCTGAAATAGCTGCTAAGACCTTTGGAAAATAAATGGAATGGCACAGATATATGACAAGGCAGAATTTCACCTTTTGTGTGCATATATATTTAAAATAATCAAACAAACCTATATTTGATCACTATAACTACTTCTTCCTGTTCTGTTTCTCACAGACTTTAAATATTTGTCACAGGAAACTTCTTATTAAATTAAGGAGGTGTGGGAAATATTTAGCTTCCATTGAAGAGGACAAATAACATTTTCTGCAATTAATCATTACAGTACAAATACTAATGTCAGAATATTACATATTTACAAGGCACTGGTCATTGACTTTCAAACACAAAAACAAATTTACAAAATTTAAATGAAGAACTCAATCTCAGAATTATATAGTATTTCACACAGTATACATTCCACTATGTATTTGTAAAAAACTGTTTTTAATATAACTGATATCATGATTTCAAATCAATCCATTGGTAAGAGGTCCACATGCTCAAATATTAAGGAGAAGGCTTTATGAACATAAATACAACTGCAAAGCTATGTTTCTCTAGATTTTAAGAACTGTATGCTGTCCTAGAATTTACATTAATTTGGTAGTTTAATTAAAGCCTCATTAACAAGTATCACATATAAGTACTGTCACTTGCACTGAATTTAATTTGGAGCCATTCAGAAATACTAGCTGCAAAAAAAAAAAAAAAAACAGTGTATTTGCTTACCAAATCTTGCTAAAGGACTTATAAGAAAATCTGTGTACATGAGTAACAGACATTATTGATTTCTGCACCAAAAGGATGAACCTGCAGAAATTGTTGATAAGTCTTCTACCTGATCCTATTACAAATATTTATCACCATGTGAATACTCTGAACTCTACTTAGTTTGCTTTCAGGCCTAAAGGTCCTGAGGCYGGCATGATCTCCATCAAAACAGGTTCAATCCACATGTTACAAACGGGCAGGAAACAAGGAAATTCCTTTACTAAGTTATCTAACTGTTGCTTACAYAGGAAAATAACTTACCTGTCTTTTGAACAACTGTTCACTCTAAAGAGCTGGCAAGCAATAAAATTGCTATTTCAGAACTACACGGTTTGAGCAGCAAGATGCTGAGAGAGATAAATAAGTACAGCAAGCCAAAATACCAAGAAACAACATCTAATATCGAAGGAAGACAGGTAAATAAGCAACTCTTAAAAAAAAAAAAAAAAAAAAAAGAGCAATTCTCCGAGTTTACAGCGCATTAGCCGCCATGGTAGTTATTGGCAAGGACACAAAGAATCGAGTAAATCACGTGCAAGAAGCAAAAAAAAAAAAAAAAAAAAAAAAAGAGCAATTCTTTTATGACCATTAATGATGTTGTTCTTACAATACTGTAACAAACATCCTATGTGTTATCATTTCACTGCATTTCAAAACAGGAGTAAGTTTGTCCTGGTCATAGAAAAACTACTCTTACACTTCTCCAATTCTTCTGCCTAATCACCTCACATGTACAGATTAAATACAGTAACTTTCAACATACAGTAATATTCACCATAGTTAATAGCTACCTCAATTTTCATGCTTAGACACCTACATTAGACAACAACAAAAACATTTTCAAGCATCAGAATAAACAACTTTATCTTCCAATGATTTGATCCCTGCACATTTTCCCACCAAAATCCATGAACTTTGGCTACTTCCTACACTTTCTCTCTGGTATCCAGAAATTTGCCTGTTGACTTGTACTTTCAACATAAATGTTTTTAAAATTGAGTGCTAAGGAGCCAGAAATGAACCAGCCTGACTTACAGGTAGGCTTTTAGGAAGGCAACTAGGGGAGAGAAAAAAAAAAAAAAGAAAATCTTGCTTTGACTAAAAAAATATACAAAGTTCACTAACAAAAGCRAAAGAGTTAAGAGGTATTCATCAAGCTTCTATCCTACATTGTGCTGTAGGCACTTAGAGACAGATGGCATATGGTATCAACCACTCCCAGGGTTTGGCAGTTATGTTTATGAAAGGTTAACAGCAGGCACTAATACGAGTATCATGACTCTTTTCAGGCAGTAGGTGAAACCTTGAAGAAAAAGTGGCTCTGTCTTCAAAAAAGTGACCTGACCTTTGCTTTGGTGGGTTTTTATTCTGCAAGAAAAAAAGCACTGCATGCTTTCCTATGCATCCTTTCTAGCCAAGAAACTATTTTGTTCTAGCATTCAGCACGGAAGGACCACATTTTATGAAAGTCAAGTAGCATGTTATTAGTGCTAGCTAATGATAGCTCCACACCTCATACAAGTAACAAGCCTCAGACGCATAATATGTCACATGAATCATGAAAAGATAAAATAAATACCTATTCGGCCAAGAACCTTTGATATGCTTAGCAATTAGAAACAACTTGTCACTGAATGAGATATATTTAAATGAATTTCACAATCCGCTGCAGTTCTTTGGATATCAAAGGAATCACAAATCCAGCATGCTTATGATTTATGACACTTTTGCTATGAGAATTTCTTGCAGCATGCAAAGAACTCTTTGTAGGGTAACTGTGATGTGTTGCACAAATAAGCTAACATAACATTGACCTGACAATTGGAAAAAAATCCATTCTAAAAACGCAATAGTAAGCACATGTTTTAACCTGCAATCGAAATGTTTCTGAAACTTAGATTATGGTAAGCAAGTGTTTTCTGTTGGACATAGACTACAGTGCTAGTCAGTGTAATTCTTACCATACAGTGCAGCAGTAAAATAATCCTTTTGTTTATATGCTTTTAAGTACTTTGATATGTTTAAGTCTAGTTAAAAATGCTGCTTTCAYGGAGCCAGATCCTGCAGTCATTGCACAGGTAAAACTTGAAGAGCCTTGCAAGCATCACAGCACAAATGTTGCCTGGATCCTGTAACTACACTGACCTTGTGCTATTACACTTCACTATGCACTCAGATATGCTCTGCCACTTGTGGAAGGAATTACAAAAAAAACCCTGGGTGCATTTGGGGAGATAAATACTTTTTTTTTTTTTTTTTTTTTTTTTATAATAACAGGAGGGTGGCTGTGAAGAGAATATGGCACATTAAGCTGGTGCCTTTTGTGCTGGGCTCACATATTACAAGAAACAATCTGAAATATTTAACCTTCTTGTGAATAATTTTCATGAATTAGCACGTGAATTTTAAGAAAGTGAACCTCAAAAAAAGAAAACACAAGGTAATTTCAATAATAATTACCTTTTTTTCAGAAGACCTGTGGCAATGTTTACAATGGCAGTATTTGGCTCCTTATAGTCTGTAAGGAAAGAAACTGTTTAGATGACATGAACTGCTTACTTACTTATTTACTAAGCATTACTAGAGCTATGAATGCCTTGGGCCCAAACCCTACAGCCTACTTCCCAAATTTAACTCCAGGGAGAGCCTGCCTCAGGGAATAACCCTCATGGATCTGCGCTTCATTTGCCAAAAGGGCTTGAATTTCCTTTTCCATGAGGAGGGGGAAAATTTTTTTAAAAAATAAAATTAAAAAAAAAAAAGAAATTCAGATGTAAACTTCTGATTTCAGACATAAACTTTTGGGGTAACTGCAATTACCACCCAGCTGAAGGCAGAGAGGAGGCTCCTCCCAACGGTCCCCGTTGGGAGGACGAGGCCCAACGGTCACCCGCTGCCCGGGCGCCTCCCGCCTGCACTCACACCCCCCGCGGGGGCGGGCGGGGGCGGGCACCGCCCATCCACGGCTTCGCAGATTCTCCTTTGATTTTATTTTCGAGGCGTCTCCAAGCGGAGCCGCCGCGGGGGGGGCAGCCCGCTCCGCTCCGCTCCGCTCGGCGCGGCCTCCGCGGGCGCGGCGCTGCGCGCGGCTCCCACGCGTCTCCTCACCCGCGCCCTTGTTGGTTTCGCTTGTTGTAGGGCAAAGGCGCTAGGGCGGCCGATAAGGCCGTTGCCATGGTGATGAAGGAGCTCCCCAGGGAGGAGTCCGCGGAAGAAAAGCCCCTCCTCACCATGACCTCACAGGTGGGCGGAACCTGGCGCACGTGCGCGCTGGCGGGGAGCGTTAACGGTCGTAACGGCTCCTAACGGCTCCGCGACGAGCGAGCGGGCGGGCGGCTGCCGCTCGAGCCAAGGAAMAACAACACAAAACAAACATAATAATAAAAATAATAATAAAAAGCTTTCTCCCCCCACCCAAAACTGCACCCATGAAAACTGAGGAGGGGGGATGAAATAATAATAATTAAAAAATCATCTTCTCTTTAGCTTTCCAATTTGGTGTATTTTAGCTTTCGCAATTCTGCTTTTTTTTTTTTTCTGATAGATCTCAATTCTATTTTATGATTGAGGAAGATGGGAGAAAAAATAGTTTGTGGCAAATAAACTCACAATATGTTTTGATCGGAAAAACATTAACAAAAACACTTTTTTTACTAAAGTGGTTTGTAGAAAACACAGTATACGTAAGTGTGTGTGTGTATATATATATATATGTCAGTTACCACATGATCTATAAGCTGATTTAAAGTGTCAATTCATGCTGTTAGTCTTTGTGCTATTTAAGTATTCATTTGTAATGCATATAGAAAATAAGAAACTATACTTTGGAAACCAGGTCCAGCAACTGCCTCCTCAACCCCTGTTGAACACCACGTTTTGCTTGTGGTGAAGTCTATAAAGTCATAGCCCAAATGACAAGGATGCTCCCTTCAATGCATCATTTCTAAATACACATTGTGGTGGATGAACAGTGAGAAACCAACTCCTCTTCCCCAAAATAACTGCAGAACTTCCATTGGCTTCCATAGGGCCAGGAATTCGGCCTAGGCTCATAAAGTGTTTGATGCACCATTTATATTGGTTGTCTGTCAATGAACTCAGTAATATCCTACAATTTGGGGGGAAAAAGTAAAATGCTTGTGCCCATTTAGTTTAACTTCTTCCTCTAAGCACAAGTATCTACTTCCCTGCTATGCACCAAAGGGGTGCAGAAGCCAAAAGCAAGCAAAATCAAGGGAAAAAGTGAGTATTTTCCATGGCCATCTCTACATCATGTATGTGTGATGTGCAGACCATCTTGCATACATCATCCATATCCCAACTGTCTGAACGTGACATTTTTCTAAGATGCCCTTTCCTTAGTACATCCGTGGAAACCTCTTGTCGAGACCATCCATTTGGCATCAGACGCTGCTGTATCTCAATATACATTTAGTCACCACCAAAGTGTTTGTCTCCGTTGTTTACATGATGAAACAGATGGATGTGGTTGCAGCTCACAGAGTGAAATACCCAAGTTCCAAATTGGCTAGAAAGCAGCTTCCCAAGCCCGGTCAAAGTCAAGCCTCGTCTTTCCAAAGCGATCACCAACACTGACACCAGTGAAGGCATGCAATGTTTAGGCAGAAATTGCATCTTTTTGGAAGTAATTAAATAGCCTCTGCAGGAAACACAAGTGGAACATGGGGGATAAAAAAAAAAAAAAAAAAAAAAAAAAGGGCTAATTCCTTATTTTCTGTGAATAATAGTCATAATGTATGGAGGTCCCTGAAGACAAATTTTAAGTGATGTCTTGCTCTTCCTTTGTAACATATTGCAAATATATCTAGCACAGAATAAATCAGATATACATATACTCCCATTTTATTATTATGCTCCTAGCTGAGCTCCACTTGTAAAATATGACTCTTGTTTGTTGGCATAAACAAACCCTATCAATTTAATTTTAATGAAGTTCCCACTTGACAGGTTATTTGATATCGTCTGCAGTTATTCTATGTAATCATATATAGATGAAAGTATTCAGATAGCACAAGCCAAAAATGACCTGCAGGCTCCAGCGGGGTTATGCTGATATATGGCAACTGGGAACCTTGACCAGTGTGCCAACATTAATGAGTATATTGCAATAAGCAGAGGCATATTCTTGGTAGTTTAATAGGCATTTCAGCATCTATTTTCTGTGACTATCTCAATTATTTTCAGTGAAAGTCACTTTACTGGTATGAAAAAGACATTCAGTAGTTGCCAAATTTAATGCATCAAGCATTAGTACAGAGTGGGCTTTCACTACTAATAGGATTTTGTAGAATACAGCTCTACACTATGCAGCTGTCTCCCTTCATCCTGTTAAGATAATTCAGAAGAGACTGATACAAATCAAGAAAAAAAGTATTTTTAATGTGAATTGAATTTAGAAAAAGAGAAAGAAAGTTTATCAGRAGTTCAAAGATTAACATAAAGCCAATACATGGAAAAAAAGTACTGCTAACTGAATCCATGGATTGAGAAAATTGTGCATGAAAGGATCTGAATTCTAAAGTAAGATTTCCTTGTTACTCTCTCCATATCTCCTCTGAATTTCTCAACAGGAAAAAGGCTCACTTGAGAGTTATTATCTAAAATGAATTTTAAACMTAAATACTCCTCGAAGTCAAAGTTTAATTGTACAGCCAACTACAAAATTCCCATTTTACTACAGGTCAGTGAACTTCAAAAGATCTGATTCAGTGAAGTACTTTGATGCACACCTAAATCTTAAAATATGATGAACTGCTTTATTGAACAGGATTAAAAGAAATGCAACCTTAGGTTGAGTTTAACCACCTGAATTTAAACAAATAAATCTCAAAGTGTCACAGGATTTATTGGTCCCAGATTCATCACACCTAATTCAGATGTTTCAGAGAACATAAAAAGAGAGCTTAGTCATGGCAGGATCCCTGTAAGAGTAAYAGAAAGACCCAGGAGGATGATTCCCATCCRACACGTGTACCCTCTGGGATATAGAAGTCCAAGAAAAATGGACCAAGAAGAAAAAGAAATGTAAATTACTTCTTGAAAGCCAATCCCTTCTGCTTACATCTGAAAAGTATGAGATATTAATATGAGAATATTAATTTGATGCTCATTGCATAAAGCTTACCTAGTTAAAATAAACATTTTAGAATTTGAACCAGAGAACAGAAACTAAGTCAAAATTAAGTTATTAGTAAAAATATTTGTATTCTTTCCCATGAAAAATGGAAATATTTTATTCCCATGTACAAGTTTTCCAATAACCATGTTCCACAATTACACCCCAACTAATTCCATCAGTTACTCTTTTTTTCCCCATATTAGAAGACAACGATGATGCGTAATCTCTCCGTTGTCATTAATGGGGAACAACTTTTTTGGAAAAAAGCTTCATTTATAATAATTAATCCAGACACACTCACGTTTGCAAAGGCTTACGAGTAAAACCCCAACATTAAGGGCTCAAGCTCCACTGTCTATTCCCCATGAGACTCAGGTGATTTGCTAAACATTTCCTTTCAATACCATTAAGAAAGCAGAATAAAGTGTCCAAAGTTCAGCTCCCAATGACACCAGAAGATTTTGTGTGTAAAGGGCTCACTCTCTGAATTTGAGCACAATCATGTTTTTCTATCTAGAAGTTAATAGTATTTGTTCTGAATCAATTATGTCCTCATAAGCTTCGTAGCATTAGAGTCCACCCTATGTTGGCTAAATAACATTAGAACAGAACAACAGAAATAGTTAATACAGCAGTTTCAGTTAATATAGTTGCCTTCCTTCTCTTTTACATCCATATAAATCAAAGGTAACCCCATTTCATCTAATGGATGTATATTAGTGCTTAAAAATAGACAACTATAAAGATATAAAATCATGCCTAGTAATAATTAACCTTGGACTACACTGATTCACTTTACATTTCACTAAGCTCTCCATGGACAGTGATAGTTTCCCCATTGATTTTAGCAGGATTGGTCCTCTGTTTGTATTTTTATATTCTTTTCAAGGTTTAGTGATTTATAGAAAATGTGACCACTAAGCATTAGTTAAGTCTGTCTTTCCAACTGTTAATTAAAAATGAGTGAATACAAAGAGAGTATAAAAAACAAAATACACACACAATGTAAATGCATGCTTTGCAGTACAAATATTAATTGATTCTTTATCTACAAGTTAAATATTGCCCAACATTGCCATTATTTGCCATTTAGGACAGTATATATAATTCCAGCAGGAATGTTCTCATGAGACCAATAAAGTTGCCTTACGATATGTTTAAAAGTCTGAACCTGGCTGCTTGCCTAAAGAGATTTCTCTGCCTCATGAACTAAATAGATTTCTTCCATGAAATAACAGTTATAATTTTAAATTACCATAGAAATTGATGGTGAATTTTGTCCATAAAATAAAAGAGTAACCATATAGTTTCACATGTGTTAAAGTATCCTGCTATTCCATAGACACATGAATTGCCTGTTTGAATCTTCCTAACACATGGAATAAAAATCCTGGGTTTTATTCTCAGATTGTTTGCAAATAGTAATTTATTTTCAGGGGACTGTAGATTCTTCATTTGTAAGAAATATATGAGGTAAAAAGTACATTATCCTTAAAAGTTTTGCAAGCCACATACCCACCATTGCTCTGTTCAGCACATCTTGCTATTTGTGCCGTGCAACTCTTTTTCTGCACAGAAGTTCTACAAATGCACACGGTGCTTTCCAATTCCAAGCTTTTCAAGCTGCAAAAGTATTTCAAAGCAAATTTACCCCATGGAGAAAGACTGCAGAAYTGCACATGAAGTTATGACTTGGCTCTATGATTGCCCACAAGAATGTAACCAAAAATGTAGCTTTATTCTAGACATACTATGCTCTAGAAGAAAACCTGCAGAAAGGACAAGAGAATCAAGGTGATTCCAAAGAAATTACAGCCTATGTACAACAATACAGCAAAGGTACAGTAAAAGTCTGCTTTGGTTGCATGGGAAGTTGGCATAGGACATTGACACAGGTCTAAATAAGTAGGAATCACATGAGCTTTACAAAAGTGACCTTTTGTGATAAGCCATGGTATTTTTGATATTTATTCCTCCATCTTTACAGTCTGGATATAAAGATCTGGAGTTCAAAATAAGAAGCACTAGTGCATCTTCCTATAACGTCTTTTGATTACAAACAACACTTTAAATAGTACATAAAGCTACAGATAGTCCACTAGTA